CGATTAAAAATCGGCTCAGCTTCCTTTAAGCTCCGACCTTTTCGCAAGGTAAAACTTCCGCCACATAGCGAAACAATCGTGGAAGCCGTCACCGATCATAATCGTGTCGGCATTGTGCGGAGCGGCGAATCCGCCCCAGGGGTCTTTATCGGGCATTGCCTAGTGCAGCCCGTCGAATTTAAGTGTCCGATTAGCGTGTTGAACGTGACGGACAAGCCCGTGGAGATACTCACTCCACATGTAACTTTAGAAGACCTGCCGCCGCCCGACACCGCGGACGTTCTCTCGTTACGCTCGAGCGACGAGCGCGAGACCATCGCCGAACGACAAAAGAAAGTACGCGAGCAAGTACAGCTCGATCACTTGAACGCCGAAGAGCGAGCAGCCGTAGAACAAATTTGCGATGATTACTTTGATGTGTTCTATATAGACGGCGACCATTTAAGCGCGACTACCGCAATAGAGCACGAGATAAATATCCGGCCAGGTAGCGCGCTCGTGAATGTGAAACCTTATCGGTTACCCGAGAAGCATAAGGCCGAAGTGAAGAAGCAAATCAAAAAGATGCTCGAAGACGGCATAATCAGCCCGAGCACGAGTCACTGGAACGCACCAATAATAGTCGTTCTTAAAAAACCGGACGCATCCGGAAAAGTGCAATTTCGCGTGGTTATTGATTTTCGGAAAATGAATGATCTCACCATGGGAGATTCCTTCCCCATGCCGAACATAACCGACATTTTAGACCAATTAGGTAACGCGAAATACTTTACCGTTTTAGATTTGGCTTCGGGGTATCACCAAATCCCCATGCATAAAGACCACAAAGGCAAAACAGCCTTCTCCACTCCGGATGGGCACTTTGAATTTAATCGCATGCCTTTTGGCCTGAAAAACGCACCGGCAGCATTTCAGCGGCTAATGTACGCGGTGCTGGCCGGCCTGCTAGGGCTGAGATGTTTCGTGTATATCGACGACATCGTCATATACGGGGCGACGCTAACGGAACATATCAGAAGAATAATAGCCGTGCTACTCAGGCTCCGAAAATACAATCTAAAGTTAAAACCGAGTAAATGCGCGTTCCTACGAAAGGAAGTTGTGTACCTGGGTCACGTAATTTCGGAAAAAAGAATCTCACCGGACCCGTCGAAACTAATAGCTGTCAAGGAGTTTCCGACTCCTAAAAAACTGAAAGACATTCAGTCGTTCATAGGCCTAGCCGGGTACTACCAAAAATTCATCGAAAATTTTTCGAAACTAGCCAAGCCACTGACCAAGCTCACTAGGAAAGGAGAAAAATTTATTTGGTCAATAGAGCAGCAAAACGCGTTTGAATTATTAAAGGAAAAATTAACAACCGCGCCGGTGCTAAATTATCCCGACTTCAATAAAGAATTTATAGTGACGACAGACGCGTCAGATTTCGCAATAGGAGCTATCCTCTCACAGGGAGTAGTCGGCCAAGACCGACCGATAGCGTACGCCAGCCGCGTATTATGCAAAGCGGAACAGAATTATAATACGACGGAGAAAGAACTGCTAGCCATCGTGTGGGCAGTCAAGCATTTTCGCCCCTATCTTTATGGCGTTAGATTTAAAATAATAACCGATCACAAACCATTGATCTGGTTATTCAATGTTACCGACCCCGGTTCAAGATTAATTAGATGGAGGCTTAAATTAGAGGAGTAAGATTACGAAATCATACACAAGGCAGGGAAGAGCAACCTAAACGCCGACGCATTGAGCCGTAACCCGATAACAGAGGCGTCAGCTGTGCATACGATACAGCAAGAAGAAGAAGATGCGCCCCGAGAATACTCGGAGGAGAAAAAGAAACAGATACTATACGAGTATCACGACTCGCCTATCGGAGGGCACCAAGGAGTCACACGCACTTTAGACCGAATCCGATTGCAACACGATTGGAAAGGTATAACAAAGGATGTCGAGACTTACATCAGCAGATGCGAATACTGCCAAAAAAATAAATTAAGCAGAAAAACGAAGATGCCAATGGTCATCACGGACACGCCGGAACGACCGTTTGAAAAATGCGCCCTCGACATCGTCGGTCCGCTTACGGTCACAAATCAAGGAAACAAATATATTCTGACGTTTCAGGATAATTTAACGAAATTTAGTAAGGCGATACCGATCGAAAATCAAGAAGCCAGGACCATCGCCAAAGAATTCGTAACAAAAATTGTGTTAGAACACGGAATTCCGGAGAAAATTCTCACGGATCAGGGCACGAACTTTACGAGCGAAATGTTCAAAAATACGTGCAAATTATTAAAAATTGAGAAGATTCAAACAACGGCGTACCACCCTGAGAGTAACGGCGCACTAGAGAGATCGCATCGCACTCTCGCCGAATACCTGAGACATTATATAAATCAAGACCAAACCGACTGGGACGAATGGCTCCCTTACGCGATGTTTACATATAATACGACGCCACACTCTACTACCGGGTTCACGCCATTTGAATTAGTTTACGGGCACCGACCTGACCTACCAACGGCCTTAACAAAACCGCCGAAATTGACATATTCATATGAAGATTATGCAAAAGAACTACGAGAACGGATCCGTGCAGCGAATCAAATCGCGAAAGAAAACACGAAAGATGAAAAAGCAAAATCAAAATTACAATACGATAAAAAAAGCAAAAAGGCAACCTTCAAAGTAGGCGATAAAGTAATACTTTATGACGAAACAATACGACAAGGCCGCTCAAAGAAGCTCGACTCGCAATGGGTAGGACCGTATGTAATTTTGGAAAAGCACAACGACGTAAATTACACAATCAAAATTAAACGGAAGACGCTACGTGTTCACGCGAACCGATTGAAAGCGTTAGTCGAAGAATAAAAAGCACACGGGTAAAGCAGAAGCAAAAAAAAAAAAAAAAAAGAGAGAAATTTAACAAGTACTCACCTAGTGGTTAAAATTCGTCGAAAACCACGGGTGACCTCCCGCGCTCCCGTGTTCACATTCACAAATACCCGCAGGGGGGGCACTTCCTCCCGAATCGCCTCGATATATGAAGGAGGCGGAAGGGCGCGGGAAGCCTGAGCCACCCGCATGTCCTGCTGAATCGCATCCTCATAGGGCGGAGGAGGCGAGTCTGGCGACTCCAGTTCCCTCGCAGGGGCGCCGGAAGCTCGAGGAGCTCGAGCTACTTCCAGCCAATACGTGCGTAGGCACGCATCGCACGTCGAAGGCGCAAAATATCTATCGCATCTAAAGCACCTCATTTTTTTTTATTTCATTATACGCACTTCACAATGCAAACGTTAAGTACCACTCGAAAGGCAGCAGTGGACTAACGCGAAACGCGCTACTTGAAAGAAACGACTCTCGCTGACGGATTAAGTCAGCATAAAGTCAAAGATAAATAGAATACCTCCAAGAACTTATTCATATTACAGGCTAACTATCATCCTACACCTCGCAAATGAAACAAAATCAGAGCAACTACCGTACGAGATGACAACGTTCACTGCCGAGCCCGGCATATATTACGAAAAAATCGAACAACTATTAGTATTAAACGCTATTTTGAATGACCTCACGACAGACATAAACGACATTACAGACTACCTGACTCACGCAAATCACAATATTTTATTAACGCGCGTACTCCCGATCGAAAAAATAATCATAGAACTAAGAGAAGCGACCGCACACATAGACAGGAGATTAAGCTTCCCATTCAAAATACAAGCCGAAAACTGGAATTCTATCCAAAAGTACCTAAATGTAAACGCGTATTAGGATAACTCGAACATATACACTACTCTTCTGTTCCCATTGATAGCGTACCCAACATACGAAATTATAAGAATCACACCTGTACCAATACACAATGACCATAATGTTTTCACACTCCTAGAACCTTCTCACACCCTATTAGGAATAAATCGAGAAAATCACAATTATATAATTCTAAAAGAAAGCGATTTAAATGAATGTACGCGAGATAATACCAAATTCACTTGCGCCCAAAATCTCCCTGTCTATTTTATAACTCCAAATGCGCCGACCGAAGTACAACTCTATGTAAAAACGTCTAGATATATGGAAAGCCGAAAACAGCGTCACATAATTTCAAATGTAACACTCTGGATTGCAGTATCCGAACCGCAGACATGGTTATTTTCCACTCCAAAAACAACCGATATAATAATTCAATGTAAAGATTTACCAGAAAATAAAGTAAAAATAGAAAGAACCGGAAAAATTACATTACGCGACAGTTGCAAACTAAACACACCGGATATGTATTTAGAGACGCAAAACCGAGTATATAATAAAAACGTAAAAATATATTTACCAGAGTTTAATGCAACAGGCTCAGTAGAAAAAAGCATAACAACAAACAATAAAGTAGATTCTGATAAAGAAATACATTTAGAACAGATAATCAAAGACCCGACAGAATTAGTAAAATTAAGTATGAGTCTAGAAGAGATAAAAAAAGAAGTGAAAAATAACCAACCAAGCATATTTGCGAATAAACATATTATATACCCTATAGACTCTACGACCATAATTGTAATAATAATAAGCATCATAATCATAGCCATTTATGTAATAAAGAGAAAAAGGGACCACTAAAAAATTTTTTTTTGTAATACCAACAATAACGTAAGAAATATAAAAAACTTAGATTGTAACCCCTCAAGGGAAAGAAAAACGCACATAAATAAACAAAAAACTACGTTTTTCTTTTTCCGCGGGGGGAGGGATGTTGCGAGCGCGCAACAATTAGGTAATTCGATAGGTAGCGACAGAAGTCGAATATGACTTCCGCCGAAACTCCTGACGAGCGATCATCCGATGCAAGTCGACACCGGAACCCGGAGCGCGG